TAAACCTAATGTAAAGACAATATAAAAATGTCAAGACAATGCCAACCTGATGCAAAGACAAAATAAAAATGTCAAGATAATGCCAACCGAATGTAAAGACAATATAAAAATGCCAAGACAATGTCTTTAAATTAGTTGTTTCCACGTTTCATTCAAACGGTAATTATCACTGGAATAATACGATGACACAATGAATGCGCCAGGTCTATTAAAAGTGTTGTATAATTTGCACATACTGGCATATAATTAATTTTGCCCTCTGTAATGTTGGTAAATACAAATAAACAAATAGTGACTTCACCAGCGAGTTACAATCTATGACCTGACTGCGTTGGTCTTTTGGTGGAATACTTCGTGCAGAGATAATTTTTGTCCAGGTCCCTGGATTGTAGTTCTACTCAACAGTGCGTGACTTGTTTTCACGGTGCAGCCCCAGGCATATAAGTACTGTCACTTATAACCTATAACCCCCGTGCCTGAATGGATCTCGTGTTGTATACTTCATTCATTCACTCACTTCCCACCCGAACTGGAGTCATCCCCGACACCTAACCCAACAAAAGTGCCCAAAAGCTCTTTTTGTGATACGAAGCACGTCTATTTTGACGTTCTGATGCTGGTTGTCTATTTCATCTAGCACTCCACCGATTCTGTACATCATTTGGTGAGTCAAACACGGTCCTGTGAACTGTTTTGTTTGTTTATTGAAGTCATTTTAAACACAGTAAGGGGTCAAACATTTGAAATCATAGGAGGAAGTGGAAGAGCGTGCATGTTTTTCACTGGCAAACAGACTCGTATATGAAAGCATTGCTTATACCGGCCCCCACATATGGATCTTTGTACTCGTTATGTTGCTTTTAGGGAAATATTTTATAAAAACATGTTTACGTCTTTCATTATTCAAGGAATCTCGGAGGGACTGACATTGCTCGTTAAGTTAAGTTAAGTTACGCTAATATATGCATAGTCTATTGTTCTAATCTAATACTTATCAACTGAACTGTTACGTAACATCTGCTGTTTCCTAATAATGTTTTTAAAATCAGCAGTGTCAAATTCAAATTTATACAAAACATGTAAAACATCTCGTTTCCCGCTGAAATCGCCAAATAATGCACGATACCATGGAGGTAAAAGACAAATGATGAGACATTGCCACTGTCTTGAATACTTTGTCAAAGATCAGCAAAGATGTAAATGCTAATTAAAAAGATCACAAGAGGGCGTGATGCGTTCAAATACAGTTCAATCCGACGGCCTGAAAATAAAGCTCAATAAAATAAAATCATCCGATATAAGAAACAAAGAATAATAAGAGTTGCGGAGTCGCATTTTATGTCTGGGGCAAAAATATACGGGTCTGAATATATTATAATTATAGAATAGAAAATCTGGAAATATGTGGAACTCCTGAGTCAGAAGGTGGAAACACGATGTTAGTAAATTTGCTACAGAACACAAATCCGAATTCTACAGCCAAGGACTTTGACGTATTCCACCGTCTTGGCCAACACCGACAGCAACTATGAAACCGGATGGAGAGAATCCTGAAGGTATGCGACATATTATAGTCAAGTTTTGAACAAGATAACAACGGGATGAAATTCATGACAACCGCATGCAGCTGAAAGAATGTGTCGACAAGAGATATCGGTTTCAATGAACGAAATATTATTTTCTCACCCCCTGTAAATCGGTCGCGGCTGAAAAGAACTATGCAAGACAGAAAACAGGGTACATGTCAATGTGTGGATATACAATAGTCGCATTTATGTCAAAAAGACACCAGGTCCTAGCAGCATTAGCGCCAAACATGAAGGGGGTCTGAAGCAAATAGAGTAGTTTGGTTTTATCGTTGTGCATAGTCAAGTAGGAACTGTTTCACATGAAACCTAAAACAACACAGTCATCATGTATTTGCAAACGATCTGTAAACAGTAAAATTTTGTAAATTTTGTAAATTCTCACAATTTCTGATTATGATAAGGTCTTTCTTAAAAAATGGTTGGTATATATATATAGTTGTGTTATACCAACTGTCTTCGTGCATACTTTGCAGTATCCTCTCATATTACTAATTAAAAACCTTTATCAGAAGTGGTATAGTCATGCAGTAGCGTACGTGAATCGTGATAAATTGCGGTCAGCAGACGACATACTGGGGACTTCAAAACCCTTCATAAAGTTCTTGTCGTTTTAAATAGACAACAACAGCGATCCACTGTCATCACTCAACGACAGGTCAAAGGACGATACTTATCTATCAAAACAGAAAACGTTGTGGTCGGCATTGATGTGTTGCACGTTGAACGTTTTTTATTGTAATATCTATAATAGTTATTATATTTTTTCTTCCCGAAAGTGAGATAAATCCAACACGTCATTTCTATGCCAGTCTATAAAAAGTTATATTTCATGTGGCGAGAAAGACTTATTTTTATGACTATTCACCAATGGAACTCATTCCATTTGCTCAATTGCGCAAAGCTATTTTGTGTGTAATATACTTCAGCCACGTTTTCGTGCATTCGTAATAGGGATATTTTCAACTAGGTGCCTTGTTACAGGGCATGCGCAACTTACGACAGGGGAGAGTCAGGTTTGAAATGAATCCAAATATACAAATATATCTAACGTGCTGTTTCTTCTGGTAATTGTTATATGTGCTTAGCTATGCGCAAGTGCTGATGGTAAATATAGTGCATGTTATAGCAGGAATCAATGTTCCGTGGCTTGGATGACGTGCCAAGGTTTTGTGGCCATTTGTCTATTATATTGGCATGATATCAATTTAATGGGCTTATTCCAGGCGTCAACCAGGTCAAGCCCAATCACATGCTGGCCTTCACAATAAATCGTACCCATGATTAAATGAATCTCGCCTACCCCGTCTCGGGTACACCTACCCAGAATAGGGTTCGTTTTTTCGAACTTGTTCACCCCAAATATGAATTAGTACGCTCTAGTT